AAATCACAGCCGCTTACGGGCACGCCTCGGGCCCATGACTTAGGCTAAAATTTTATGCAAATATATAAGATTTCAAGCAAGGGCAAAACATTCAAAATGTAAAATAGCATTCAGATAAAAATGCCCGAAGGCGACAAAGAAATTATAAACCGACCAAGAAGGCCGACGATGTTCATAACGTACAAAAAACGGGCACGCATGCCCAAAGAATACAAATGTCAAAGGCACGCAGGCCCGCTATCCTAGTCAGGTTTCTCCAGAACCGTCATTGTCAACGCCTGGAGAGTCGGGCGGGGGGACGATCACGCCATCCACGATCTGATGTGTGTGGCCTATACCCTCAGTGACCAGACCTGGGTTTAACAAGGAAAGCTGACCGACTGCGGAGTCGAACCCCTCCTCCAGAGCACCGACGCAATCTGCCTCGAGGAGCCGGATATGGGCGACCAGCTCCGATCGACTCTTCAAAGCCGATATGTCCTCCGGCTCATCCTCGGCAGGTTGCATGGCAACGTTCATTTCCTCGACCTGCTGGGCCAAGCGCCCGACTTCGGTCCCCAGACGATCCCTGTCTGCACGGAGAAGCTCCCCCTCCTCGGCCAACTTCCCCGACCTTTCCTTCTCCAGGACCAACATCTCCCTCTCAGCATCCAGCATCGCCGTCTGCTCGCGGAACATCTCCTCGGAGCGTTCCAGGGCAGTCTTCAACTTCCGCGAGCTCGAGGTGAGAGCCGCTTTCTCCTGCTCGAGTTCTTCGATACGGACATGATCCCCCCCTTCCTCGGACAACACCAGGGCCATCTCGGCCATTTTCACCAGCCCGTCTATGCTGGCGGCCAGATGCATCTTCCGATCCTCTTTACTCATCCCTTTGATAGCCTCAGCCTCGTCGGCAACCACTGTCAGAGGGAATCTCTCGAAGAAACCCTCATCTTTGAAACATGGGGGGAACGCGAAAGACCTGACAGCACTGGCGTCCTCGTGAACAGTCGGACCACTTTCCACCCGGGTCCTCTTCCTTTGCATCAGGACGGCACTAGGATCGACCTCTTCAACTTCTGGGGTCCCATCCGACGTGGCCCCCGAGCTGGGCGGCGAATCCACCCTCACCGGCTGAGGAGCACTCGGACTGTGTGGCGGGCCTATCCTCGTCGCCTGGGGAGCCTTCACGACCCTCCTGCCTCGCTTCTGGTCGCAAGACAACTTCAAAAGCCTTTCCCGTCGACCGGCCATCGAACCTGCACAAAATAAAAGATGGGTTAGTGTCAAGCAAGCTCATAAATAAATGACGAGCAAAGAAATTCAAGCAATAAACAACCTAGCAGACGAGCAGCCTGCCTGTACGTCTGGCACTCCACGAGCGCCTTAGTATCAATCGGCCGAGACTCAAATGTCGGATAGCCCTCTGCATCCAAGATATCGTCCCCTTCCCTCGTGGCCCACCGGGCAGGGTGGAAGCTATCGACAAACCGACAAAGTGTGGCGTATGCCTCCTCGTCCTCCGAGCACATGTCCCCGGCAGCAGTATGGTAGTAACCAGTCCCGTGCTCGTAGTGCCTGAACATCCAGTGCACAGGGAACTTGGCCGTACGGGCCATCACAGGATTCCCATCGTCGCCCAAAACCGCCTCCCCGTCATCATCGCTTAGGGGCTCCTCCTCCTCGTACAGGGATCCCAAAGCAGAGGTGGTAACTGGCCGCACAACGTACCACTTGCCTTTAAAACCCCTTATGGAGTCCATATACAATTTGAAGAATCTCCTCGACTGCTTTAAGGAGACCCAGCTGTGTTTCCCTCCTCGAGACTGGCGCTGCAGATGAAAAATCCTGAAGAAGAGCGGTATGGTCGCCCCGATCCTCAGAAAGCGACACGTCAGCTCAAACGCCTGGATAAAGGCGAGTGAGTTCGGATGTAGCTGAGACGGGGCCAGCTCTAGATGAGTGAAGACCCCGACCTGGAAATCACTGAAGGGCAGCTGCAGCCCAAGATCTTTGAACGCGATCTCGTACATCGCAAAGCTATACTCCAGATACACCGAGCAGATCCGTGAACGGGAGGACGGGCGCATGACAACGAAATTCTTTTGGAAGTCAGGCTGGCTCTGGCCTGCTTCGAGGACAACATATGGATTTCGGTCGCCTCGGCTGTATATCGACGCAATCCCTCGGGGCTCGGCGCCCACCCAATCCAGCAAAGGGTCGTCGACAGTATCAATCAAGCTGACCGACTCATCGGCACTTTGTTCTTCACGTTCGTGGCGCCCAGAGGAGCACGGCTCGTCCGCCATGGTTACCTGCAGAGCACGGGAAACCAGTCAATTGGGCACGAAGCCATATGCTCGACAAACCACGTCGTCCCATGCACGACCACAAAAGTCAGTTTACACGAGTAGTCGCCTCCCCGACATCCAGAAAACTCGATGTGTTCTTCTCCAAACCGACTACACGGCCACTCTCCAACATGTCGGCCCAAGGTATGGACATGGCGAGCAACATCATGAGACCTACAGCCAGGACCATGAACATACCGGGCGCGATCATGAATCAGGCGCCCTGGATCATGAAGACCCCGGGCAACGCTGAAGTTTATCGCCTAAAACTATGAATATGCCGACCACAAACATGCGTCTGCCGATCCTAAGCATGAATATGCCGGCCACAAACATGCGTTTGCCGGTCCTAAGCATGAATATGTCGAGCTAAGTATGAGTTTACCGGGCTAATCCCACGCGCGCAGTCCCTAAAACATCTACAAACGCTGAAAATCATGCAGTACAACAGGAAAAAGTAGAAGATAAACCACTTACTTGAATCAAAAAGTAGGATTCGGCTACGGAGTGAAAGAATCTGTAACAGAAGATAGCGGCTGGGAAAAATCTGGAAGAACAGCAGCAGTGAGAGCACAAAGAGTAGAAACGTGTTATGGGGCCCAAGGTTCCTATTTATAGTGATGACGTGGAATACCAAACGTCACCTCGGGCAACCACGAAGTTCCTCTCCTCGACGCGTTGCTCCCAACGCAATGATGACCCTACCATCATAGGGTGGCGGCACAGTTCCCGAAAGGCACCTCGTGTGCTCGACAGACACGCGTCGGCTAGGATCCTCCGGGCATCCACCGCGGGAGATGTCTCCGAGCACGGCACGGGGAGGCCCTCGAGGGCCTGCATCTCTATCCCGGGAACGAGACCCCGAAGCGGAAACGACCTGAGTTCAAGCCATGGCTCCTAACAAAGGAACCACGACTTGGGGGGCTCCTGTTCTGGACTGGGCCCGACAGGCCCAAAAGCATTGCGAAGGCCCAATCCAAATAGACTTGCTAAGGACCATGCCGACCAAAGGGTCACAGTCGTGCCCGACGTGCTCCCTGAGGTCACGTGCTCGACCGCCACATCCCTGGCTGAGGATCAAAGGGTCACAGTCATGTCCGACGTGTTCCCTGAGGTTGCGTGCTCGACCTTTACACCTCCAGCTCGACATCCTGCTGTCCAGCTCGACATCACCTCGAGCACCCCAACTAGGGCAGACTCAGTCCACGGTTCCCCCAACGAGACCCCGAAAAGACCGCGTCTCCATCCGCCCGCACTTCACGCAGAACATCCAGGAAGGGGACCACGTGCGGGTCCCCATTACGCACGTAGAACCTGGCAGTTCCTCCATTGGGCCAAACCTGCCCGGCCCAATGAAGGAACCTTGGCCCAGCGCTGGGGACTATAAATACCCTCTGTTTCCAGAGGATCAGGTATTCATCATTCTAACCATACACTTGCTATTATCTGCTCGTACTCCTACTTACTTCAGCATCGGAGTGCCTTGCAGGTACCCCCACTTCGTTCAAAAAACTTTCTGCTCGGAGCCAGCCGTGACGGTCCATTCCTGATCAGGTCAGATCATAATACATAGAAAGTATCAGTGAAATCTAGATCACACAATATAAATCAATTACTTGACAACTTTTAGATTATATACTCTGAAGTATGACATACTTTTCTCAGCATGGATTCAGACTATAAAATATGAATTGAAATGACACTAATCATTATGAGTTAAGATCATAAAATTTGACACCAATCTGAAATGAAACGTTATTTAAAGGGATTGCTAAAGGGGTGAGAGACATTGTGGTCTTAGCTAAACGCTTGATTTGAGAGTGGTTTTCAACTTTTAAAAGAGTTTTGGTGACTTATAATTTCACAGATTGACTTTACAAATCCGTGTTTGTGTATAATATAGTTTCAAATTTTAATACAATCACTTTGAACCGTTGATTTTTTGTGAGATTTATCATTGTATTGTTGGCTTTCTTGTACTTGGGCCAAATACCCATATACTCATTTTAATACAACTTCAATCTTGCTTATAAAAGAAAGATATCATAAAATATTTGAACATGTGTTTTACATAACTACAATACATATTTTTATTAATAAGAGTTTTAAACTACATGAACATAACATAATAAAGAATAATGAGTTACATTTGCATTTATTAATTTTATAACATTTTCTTTTATTAAAATAGTATGTTGATCTGATGATTTTTAATATTTAATACTTTAGATTGAATACTGCTATTTTATTTAAATAATTAGTTTTATATTATAAAAAATATAAAAATTAAATGCATTTTTGATCTTTTTATTTTAAAATATATAAAATTTAACAAAAACATAAACAATTAATTTCGAGTGATATAAAATTTAGAAAGTAAAAAATTAAATTTTAAAATGAAACTAAAACTTAAAAAATTTAAAAATAGAAGAACACAAACATAAACAACAATAAAGAATTCAAGAGGAGAAACACAAAAGAGAAAAAAAATCAAAAATAATATAAGAACCGCATTTGCATCAATGATAGATTTTAAAAGAAACTTCAATAGAGTAAAATCAAAGAAACCGTTGCTTTAATTTGTTTGTTAGAAATTTAATTACAAACTCAGCAATCACCACCAACAACCTTCCCTTCCCCAAACGCCGTCGTTTTGGTCCCGCCGGCGAAATGGCCGAGAAAGCGAAGCAGCAACAACCGCGCTTCGCGTTCTCGTTTCCCGTAACCTTCGTCCTTTTCGCCATCGCTTACATTTACTTCTCCACCGTCTTCGTCTTCATTGATCGATGGCTTGGTCTCTTCTCCTCCCCTGGAATCGCCAACGCCGCCGTTTTCACTGCCATCGCTGTTATGTCGCTGTTTTCTTATCGGGCGGCTATATCCACGGATCCGGGTCGGGTTCCGGCTACGTACACGCCGGATATCGAAGATAACACAACCCCGCTACATGAGATCAAACGCAAGGTAACTGTTTGATAAAAATGCAGTTTTTATTATTCTTGTTTTTCTTGTTTTGAAATTGGGGTTTATGAAATGATTATGTATTAATGGCATATTCATTAGTTATTATTTTTAATCACTTTTAATGATTAATTGGTTATTATTGATTGATAGATATCAATTAAGTACATTGTTTTTTAGTTTGATAATTTGGAAGTTGAAGTTGAGCTCAACTTTTTCATAATGAGAGTAAAAAAGTCGCGTTTTTTTTTCTGTTCTTGATTTAGCTTCACCAGGGTTTTAAAACACCGTCCGCTACCGCGACAAAACGGTTTCGGATGCCAATACTGTTATTCCCTATTTTTATATTAAAGAACAAATTGTGGTTAATTCACCGCAATCAGTGTCGCGACACTTGTACCAACCAAAATCGCAAAAGCATGACCGCAACGGGACAGTGAATGTTTTTTAAAACCTTGAGCTTCACTATCGATTTTAGACTTAGTATGAGGAAAGAGCTATATTTTTAATTTGTGGTGGAATGCTTCGCCTTTAGCTGGATAGTTAAGCAATATTAGGAGACTAATAATGTTGTCTTGATCTAGGTTAGGGGTTCTTGGTAGTGTTGCTCTCACTTCATAATTATTAACAGTGTAGAAAATTCTGGTTGAGTACTACTGATGCGCACAAACTTGTGGGTTCGATGCGTTTGTGAACAATGTTGAAAACCTTGATTTCGCAGCCACACAATTGCCACCAACTTCCGAAATGTTGTTGCAGTATAGGGGATAGCAGTGTAGCTTTTGTTACATTGAAGGTTACGGAAACAATACATGAAATGTATACCACCATGCACATAAGAACTTGAAAGTAGAAGATCATACAAAATTAAAAACATAGTTATTGCTAATCCAAAAAAAGGTAGCTGGCTGCTATGAGTTGAGGATAAATCGAGGTTTTTATAGAAGCTTTGTAGTAGTGGCTGATAAGAGTTGAGGATAATTCGATGTTTTTATAGGAACTAATCCAAAAAGAGGTGGCTGCTATTAGTTGAGGATAATTCGAGGTTTTTGTAGGAGCTTTATTGTAGTGGCTTCTATGAGTTGAGCATAATTCGAGGTTTTTAAGGAGCTTTATTGTAGTGGCTGCTATGAGTTGAGGATAATTCGAGGTTCTTAAAGGAGCTAATCCAAAAAGAGGTAGCTGCTATGAGTTGGATAATTCGAGGTTTTTACTGCTACTAAAAACACAACACATTGGGGTTTCAGGTGGTGCCTAAGGGTCGTTATGCTATGCAATGCAACACTGTTATTGACTGCAAAGATTAATTTTAACCGTGTTTTTATTGTGCTTGGAGCAAATGAAAAAAGGTTGGTATTATGTCATATGATGGTGTATTTGGCCTTCTGTTCCCTGAAATTAATTATATTCCTAATCACCCATGACTACTGTGATGGAATGAAATTAGTTAACCAATGCTTGTTATGGTGCCTGCTCATATGCTGGTTTTTTAAGTGGAGTATCGTATATGTGATTGGTTGTCTTCCTTTAGAAGAGGTGGTCTACTCGTCTTTACTAATACTCATTCATATTCACAATGTCATTTACTTAGTTATCAAACTCTCAAGTTAAGTTAACTCATTAACACTGATGAGTTTTTGATCTTAACTCTTAAATTTAGTTAAATTGTTTTGTTTGTAGTGTTTTAGGTTAGGTTTGAAAGATCTTGAATAATTTTACAGTTGAATTGCAGTTGTATTTAAATCAATTTTATTTTTATTGTTAATTAAAGTAAGTAGATATAAGGCATACTCTATAATCGCTTTAAGTTATTCATCTTATACAATTTATTGTAGCAGAATTTGAATAAACCGCTATTTTTTGCCATTCTCTATATATTACTGGTCTTTCTTACAGATTTGTCGTGTAACTTTACCCGGTCTCCCTTTAATTTCCAACTACTGGACTATCCATCATCTAGTCAATCCTTCTTAGCAGTGTTTTTACCAGTTTCTGGATTTAAGAAGTTGAAAATTTTGCTATTATACTATGCTGGTTAAATCTATTTTTTTAGTCCTCTATTCAATCATATTATAAAGAGATGGCTTATTTATTGTAATATTCTTTTTTTTTTAACCAAACACGTGCTAACAAAGGAAAAAAATATTTTTGATTTTACAATGATTCCCATAAACATGTGATTGTGTATCAAAGTTGAACATCATGAAAACTAACTATCATTGTAATGTTTCTTGAAACTGTAAGCAGGGTGGAGATTTGCGATTTTGTCAAAAGTGTTCTCACTATAAGCCTCCCCGTGCACATCATTGCCGGGTTTGTAAAAGATGTGTTCTACGAATGGTATGCATGATCTAAATCATCAATCAAGGTTATCTTTGATATTTTGGATAATGAAAAATAGTGTTGTCTATTGGTTTTAAGGATCACCATTGCATTTGGATAAATAATTGCGTCGGTCACGCAAACTACAAGATCTTCTTCATTTTTGTCACGTATGCTGCAATTGCCTGCATTTACTCCATGGTATGTTTGTTTATTTTTTATCCGCATGAGTTAGTTTTTATAATAGTTATAAATTTCCTACAAAGTTCTATTTGTACTAATAAAATTCGTAGCCTGATTTAGGTTTCTCTTCCTTTTGGTGTTTTTCATGGTGCGGTGCTAGATTTGATAGTTCTTGTATTGACAATCTTTTTCATTCAAAATTGTTTAACTTTGTAGATCTTACTTGTTGGTAGTCTAGCTTATGATGGTTTACCAGATGACGAGAACAATGGCGGCTCTTATAGAACTGTATATGTATGTTCTACTAAAAACAAAAATGCATTTATTTCACTTCAGTAAAGTTAGCAATTTTATTTTCTCATGAAATTAACTTTTTTGCAGGTTGTTTCTGTGATCTTACTGGCCCCCTTATCTATATCATTATGCGTTCTTTTAGGATGGCATATCTATCTCATCCTACATAACAAAACTACCATAGAGGTTATTACATGCTTTTAACTAAAATCTTTTATTTTATTTGACCAGACTGATTTCGGATTTCTCAATTAGGCAGTTGTGTTGGCAGTATTATGAAGGAGTGAGAGCTTTGTGGCTTCAAGAGAAGGGTGGGAGTATCTATAAACATCCATATGACCTTGGCCCATATGAGAATTTGACATCTGTACGTATTGATGATTATGCAACTGCTGCTTTTATCACAATGTGTGAGTTTGAGCTTCTGATTTATTTTGTTGCAGGTTTTGGGACCAAATATTCTCAGCTGGCTGTGGCCAACGGCGAACCATATAGGTTCTGGACTTAGGTTCCGCACAGTCTACGATCTCACAAAAGGTGCATCAACATCCAAATGATGTTTTCACATTGCTTTGCAGTGGTCATTGGTAATATTCATATTAACATTTATTGAGAAGAATGATTGAGCAATGACAATGCGAAATGAATGGTGAAGTGCCACCTGAAATTCAATAACTCAAGTGTAGGTATTGAAAGAGCTGTTTGCTGCATGTATCTGAGGCAATTATGTAATGTATATGCTCGAATGGATATTAATAACATACAAATTTTTTGTTGTTTTGCTTAACCATTTGTTAGACATAGATTAGGCTTCTTCTCCCCGTCTTCCGGTCTTGTTAGGTTTTGGATGATGTGGGGTTACAGTTGTAGAGTCCTGTTGATAAACCTAATGTACAAAGAAACCAGCTCATCAAGGTGCTGTCAAGGGATTGTTTAACCATTGTGAAAAGTTGTATTTTAGAAGTGTAGACATATTACAGTTTTGTTGCCATGTATTTGATTGCTTCTTACTTGCAAAATTGTTTACAGTTCAAGCATATTCTCAATATGCACAATGAATGTTCTAAAATATATATTATAATAAAATTGACCAGAAAGAGACATATGCGTTGAATTGCTTCATGCATACATAATCATTTATTTACTAATGTATATGATGTTTGTTTTCTAACCAATCTTCAACCACCACAATTGGAATGTCAAGTGACATTGCATCATAATGTTGGTCATCCAGAGCACTAAGGGTTGTGTTCTTTAAAATTCTGTTGGTGATACTTTGTTTTCTAGGCCACATTTTCTAGTGGGTCTCTTCTTTACTTCAATTTAGGCCCACTGGTACTATCACTATGTAGAAACTTGTGCTCATTGTGTTTTGATAATTTCTCAAGGTGGCGATGAAGAGCCAAATTTAAAAGAGTCACCTTTAAAAAAATTGAAAAATGTTCTTCGAATAATTTTCAGATGTCTCTATGCACACCAAAGTACTTCGTCAATGAGCCACTCTCACTTTGTCAAAAAATGATCCGGAAGTTGATCTTTATATTGATGAAATGATGAGTCTGTAGGTTAAGTTTCAGACTAATCTCTTGACACGTTTTAAACTAATGATAATGTGTTTATTTCACAGATATCAGTGGATAATATGAAAGTTAAGTTCTGAATTTACCAATCGAAAAAATGAATATAACACCATCTTGCATGCATTTTTCAATTCATGATCATACCATCATACTTTCAAAATCTTACAAAAATCTCCTTCCATTCTCAATCAGGTTTTGTGCTTCAAAATCACATTCTTATGTTTTTTAACATAAAAAAAAGAAGGAAAAAAAATTAGAATTTAAGCTAATGTACATATATTTTCTTTCCATTGCTTGTAAGAATATGATTGAGCTGTTTAAAAATGAACACCGCAGTCAGAAGTTATTATTTTGCATGTAATTCCGACAGTTTAATTCTGGAATATTTTCATGTTGAATTTAAAATTTGATTTTATTTATACTGGTTGCAGTAGTGGTGCACCCCTGATGATGTATTCAATATTATTGTGTATGGATGTTAAATTGATTAATATCGAGGTAGATTTTGGTAAACAATTTACAAATAGATAAAAGTTTGTTGTTCGTGAACATATGCTTTAATGGATCTACACAGACTGCAAAATTGGGATTCAACATTGTAATTGAAATGTCAGATTATAGTTCTGAAAGAAGACCGACATTTGTGACAATGAGATGTGAAAGAAGTGGTGAGTATAAAGAACCTATTTGAAAGTTGAAACGAGATGACATCGATTCAAGAAAATATGAGTTTCCTTTTAGGTTGTGCGAGTAACTTAAGGAAAATAATACATGGGCATTTAATATGGTTTGTGGTATATATAACCATGATTTATGTTATAAGTTAGCAAGTCACCCCATTGTATGTCTTTTTAAGTTCGAAAAGGATGATCTTGTTTTTTACATGGCGTTGAACATGGTGAGCCCAAAAATATACTTGCAACTTTAAAACGGAAAAGATCTCACAGTGTCTCAAATATTAAGCAAGTATAGAATATTCGCGTCCAAAACAACAAGGCGATAAGAGGTCCAAGAACTGAAATACAACAACTGTTGAAGCTTTTGGATTATGATCATTATGTATCTAGGTATATAGTGTGTGAGGATGAAGAAATTGTTCGATATATATTTTGAACTCATCTTAATTCTATCAAGTTATTCAACATATTTTTCAATATGCTTATAATTAATTCAACATATGAGACTAACAAGTACAAGCTTCCACTTCTGAAAATTGTTGGTGTTACTTATATGAAGATGAATTTTTTAGTTGGGTTTGGATTTTTGGAAACTGAAAAAAAGGATAATATTACTTGAGTTTTAGAAGTGTCTCACACTATGTTGAAGGACCAAGAAAACATGTCATAAGTAATTGTTATCGTTTGCAATACCGCACTGATGAATTCAAGTGAAAAGGTGATTCATATATCACATGCATTACTTTGTAGGTAACACATGGCAAAAAATGTGAGAAGTAGATTTAAGCTTGTGGGCAGGTACCAAACAAATAAAGGATGAAGATGAAAAAATAATCAAAGATTGTGTGATATTGGAAAGTATAATGGATGCTTGGAATGGTATAATAAATTCTTCTATGAAAGAGTTATATGTTGAATATGTAATAACTTTAAGGACGATGTGTGTGAAATATCTGGATTTCTTGAAATATGTTGGGTGAAAATATGGACTAATAACGGTCTAGGGAGGTGAATAGACCTCCCAAAATAAAATTAAGTTTTAAAAATATCTTAATCAGAGTTTCGAAAACAAAATGATTTGTGTGGCAAAAGCAAAGTATACGTAAAAAAGTTTATGCTTATCCATTGAAAGTTATGTTAGTTTACTCAAATAGTTTACAATATATCTAATATGAACTATTGAATTTCACGAATATTTACAAACCAATTATATCTCACAATTATTCAATTTCACAGAAAGTGTTATTGAATAACTTTCAATACACTTAAGATTCTACTAGCAAAGTCTTCATACTTAATCCATACTAAGACAAAGTAGAACTCCCAGATTCTAACAAAACCTACTATTTAAACAACAAATTGCTATTTACAATAACGTAAGAAGCTTAATCATTCGATCAACTACAAATTTAAATATGTGTGTGTGTGTGAGAGAGAGAGAAAGAGAGAAATATACATCAGAAATTATAGTGGTTTAACACGCTTGTCCTTGATTTATGCTTAATCCACTCTCTAATTGTTTCCCATTGAACTTGTTCTGGATAAACACCAAAAAGATGAAATTCTTTGTTTCAAATCTTGACTTGTACACAGTTTCAAAAATTGAACTCTATGTGAAATCTTTACTCAAATTCACTTCTTGAACCTTTCAACTCTAACAACCTGCTCCTAAGTATCTTCCTGTGGAAATTTCGATACAATTCTGCAAGTATCTTGAGTGTTGCATTGTCCAAATATTGAATAGAACTCCTACCTTATTTATAGACTTCCACACAGTACTACCGAGATCAACCCGAAGAGAAGAACCTCCTTCTTTTTAACTGGAATTATCACAACCAGACACAACACCGCACAATCTTGCAAGCCCCTAAAATCTTGAACAAATATTCAAAGAAATGTTAAATTCACAACGAATATCCTTAATCAATCACGAATCTTCTAAGATGAGATTCAAATCATGTAACAATGAAAAGAATGAGACAGAAGATGAGAGAAATCATTTTCAAATGTTCACTAAAAATTCAAAGTCTTTTGAAAAAAGAAAGAACAAGTAGTTTGTGAGTTTTCAAATCATCAATTGAAGAAATGTGCTTTCTAACATTTTAAATTGAGAGTGACAAAAATGATTTATAGGTGCTAGAGATGAAGCACAAAAGCAAGTGAAAAAAATGATGTTTGACTCGAGTCAAGAGTATTTGGTGATTTGAGTCAAGTTAGAAAACTAATACGGAACAAGATCTACACTTAAAAGGAGATCCATTTTTTTGTGATTTGAGTCAAGACTAATGCATGATTCAACTCACACAGGTCATGATTTGATTCATATCTTAGTCATGATTGGACTCAAACTTGGCACCGACTGAAGAGGTGTCAGTGATCTAAATCATGCATAACATGTGATTCTACTCCCAGAGTTTATAATTTAAATCAAATCAAGTTTTGATTCGTATCACAAGTTGCAACAAAGCTCTGATTCCTTTCTTTCTTGCTTGATTCAACTCAGGAGAATGTGTGATTCTAATCACACATCCAAAATCTCAAAAACAAAAGTTTTCAATGGTGTTTTGAGATTATACTTTTGATATGACTTAAATCAATCTCCATTATGGTTCTTGTTCAACAAAACTCTACTAATTAACTTAAAGCCTAATGTTGCAAACACTTTGAATTATGCATGCTAAAAAACAAATTCAAAACTTAATCCTCTTGTATGCTCAATTAAAGAGGAGACTCAAATTAAGATTAAAAACAAAGTAAAGCTTAAGAAACAAGCAACAAAACCACACATAAGGTCTCCCCTTGTTGTATCAGAGACATCCACCTTCAGAAAGTACAAGATGAATGAGAAGATTGTTTATGCTTAGATGGAAATATTGTTACACACTTTGAAAATACAACAACTAGCATAGATGGGTCTGCTCATGCTACATTCAAGAATTGATATGAAAATAGTAAATGTGATTTATGTAGAGGTTATGACTCTAAGAAATATATATTCACAGTTGTTGGACAATATATATCGAGCGAGATTGAATTTTTTTTAATCACAAATCCAAGCAAACACAGAAAATAGATTAAGATAGCTCAAAATATGGTTGTACACTTAGAAATACGTATTGTCTTCCATGTGCTTATTTAATTCAAATAGGATGAAACTTGATAAACCCATACAAATGGATGAGGTTTACATGCCCTGGAAAATGATCTAGTTTGATGATAACAACGTGATGAAGGATTATGTGCATTGGGTGGCTTTTAAAATCCCTATATTTTGTTCAAGTTTATTTGAAATCGGGATGT